AGTGCCTGTTGTAAAAGGTGTCGACTGCATGCATTCATGAATAGATTCTGGTGGAACCAATACTGGCGCCGCAGAACATATTTCATGTACAAAGTCCAAAACTGCAGACAAATCAAACAAACATAATAATTGTCTAATAAACAAACAAGTTCATGCTCTACAGAGCACAGTTCGTGGGAGGCATGTTCACATATAATCCAAGTCTTCCAGATAAAAAATTTACTCAAAAAATAATCTTCCTGAATCCATCTTCCAATAAAAACTTTGAAAAAATAAATGTGCACACATTGTATAACTCGACTATCTAAATCTTCCATCAAAATAATTCCTGGAACCACTAAATCTTCCTTATATTACAGGTGACAATTGCCTGACCTTCTAACAATTAGTTTCATCAAAAAGCATGAAACATTAGAAACCATGAAAACTCCTGGAAATGCACCTTTATATAGTCTACAAGGTGGAATTTTTATCTTGGCTATCACTACTACACTACTAAATTTAGATGATCTACATGTATCTCCTCATATGAATTCAGATGATAAGAATTAATTCTGCTTTAAATTGAAGAAGAAAAATTAAACTGATAATTACCTTTCTAAAGTTCTCCATCTACATTCATGTCAACAAAGCAGCCTAAATTTCCAAGCAATTCATAATGAACATGAAATTTAAATTTGAGGTGTTTTATAACATCAGATCACTATCAAATTCTTAAATTAGCATCCCATGTCATGTGGGACTTGTGGACTATGTTCATCCCAGATTGTGTGCGTGACTATGGTCACATTCAGGAGGGTAGTTATTCATAGAATAAGACCCAATAATTTGCGAACAATTGGACAAGTTTATCAGCCCCGGAAGGAAACGCCTTAGGATTTCTTATCGTCTGATTAAAACCAGAAGGATGTTAGTTATCTCTGTGAAGGAGTATACGAGTTAGCGCCCTTCTGGCTCCGAACGGACGTTATGATCCTGTTTCCTCTCAAACCCACTAGGGGAAGTCGAGTAATTCACCACATTCCGGTATTCATGTTGAAACATTCAGCTAAGACCATTGTTGCTGCTTGTTTCTCTTCTTTTTTTGGTCGTGTCCCAAAGGAAGGATTTGTTCTTTTATTTGGGTAGGAAATAATTAATCAGCTGGAATGGATTTGTCTACTTTCAAGGAGACACTCGGCTTTGTACCAATACTGCACAGTAAAACCAGACACCAACATTTGTAACAAACACCTTTTGAGAATTGTGAGCAACTGGTGGTTTTGTGACAGAAACTTTCATGAATTGTAAATCTTCAGTATGGTGTCAGTTACGATTCGAAAACTTCATGGGATGAAACTTTTTAGGAACAATTATTAAATTCATGATTGTTTACGGCTTACAAAAGTTTGTGGGTTATATATATGACTTTCAATCTGGCCTCTTGAATATATTTCTCTATCAAATTTGACTCGAATAATACCGGTATTCCATCTGACATTCTCTAGCCATTCTGATATGAATTTTCTCAAAATTATAACCCCATTAAGCCAAGTAAAGTGTTGTTTATACTTTGTTGCTGTAATCATTATGGTATATATTTATTGGATACTGAATAAAGAAGAACAGCAGATGAAAATTTGTGTTGTACTTGAAATTATTAAATAACATGGACCTAAAATTTGTGTTACATGTAATTGACCTCGCAGGATTTATACATACAGGGGAAAATATCAAATGACGTGGATCACTCCCCTCCCCCTCCCCTCCTCACTTACAAGAAGCTATGATGAGAAACTTTATAGGATTTGAGTTTACTAGGCCATGCAAACAAGTATTTCCCTCTTTTTTTTTCCAAGATTAAACTTATTCCCCTCATTTCCCCCAAAAAGATTACAAGTAATTCCCTCTTTATTTCCAAGATTACAAGTAGTTCCCTCATCATACAACCAAAACTCAGCCAGTTAATCCCCTTTGTCTCTAAGCCCCCTAATCCCCTGATCACTATAATGTGTCAAGTACCTAATCCCATTCACAACCATTATCACTTCAGATCATCCTATAATGAGATTAGTGGGTGAATTTAACTGTCAACCTTCTTGTCCAAATCACAGAGCTGAATAAGACACAATATCTTGAGAAGTAAACAATGGATGTAACTGTACTTAAACCTCTACTTGAGGTGGGATTATTTATGCCCTAATTTGTTTAAAGTATTTTAAAAGAAAAACATTTATAAAGATCCTTTTTGTTCTTTTTAACAACAATAATAATATATATTACTGAGTATATTCATAACATACTTCCAACGAAACACCGGAATGTGAGATAAACCAATGGTTTTTGTTTGCAGTGTAAAAGCAGCTGATGTTAACAAAATCAGAATACTGTGAAATATGAATTAGTTTTGTTGCCCTCAATTCTATTATTGCCTGAGGAAAAAATCAAGAAGGTTGATTCCATGAGAAAGAGAACCCAACTTCAACACAACCCAACTTCAACACAACTGCTCAACTCCACAAACATAAATTTGATCAAATTGGAATTCAAACATTAGGAAATAAAACAACAACATATGTGTATACAATCAGGATAACGTGAAAAATGAATTAGTTTTGTTGCCCTCTATTCCTTCGTTGCTGGGGGCCAAAAAAATGGAGAAGAATCTAAATTTAATCATTTTTCCTCAGATCGAGTTCTTGGGAGCAATTTTTTTACGGTTGACGGTTCTTCCGTTGTCGATGCTTCCTGAAGGCAACGTCTTCGCACGGACAAACAAGAAAAAACCTTCAAGGTACGCCGCCATAGGACGGAAGGAAATCATTTTGATTTTCTTCCCGATGTGAGTCAACAATTGGTTTTAGGATCTTTGTAATCGCTGACGTGTGATTCGTGAAGCCATCGATGTGGGTTGAAGAAGTTCAAAGAACGCAGAGAACATTTCAAAGAGTTCATCCATCGATGTCAAAGAATCTCTTGTGCATTAAAGGTTTCAGATGATGGTCCCTGATGGGAAATTTCATACTTTTTATGAGCACTCCAAACTAGGATAATGATCGGTATCAATTGCGCTATTACTCATTTCCTTTCAAAATATTAGCATATTTGAATATTTTGTTATCTTGATAGCTAGGATATGACATTACTGGCATATAAGGCAAGACAGGTTGAATTCCATGTTTCTTTTTTAGCAAGTCCGATAGTTAAAACCATTGTTCCATGCTGCATGACATATAAATGTAATAAAATATAATTTTTCGAGAGGGTTGCACATGAGCACCTTTTTGAAACAATTTCTTTCGAGGAAATAGATTACATCACAAGCAAACTCAATGATTTATAATTACTTCCAGAAAGGAGACATAATATAATATTTTTCTGTGATTTCCATGAAATATTTACATAAACATACATAATCCCTTTTTACAGTTTTTACTTCAAGGAACATGGAGAGACAGGAGAAAAACCACCTAACTGCTCCCATGGAAAACTTTCTGAGACAAATCAGTTCTCCATTTTTATTGATATTACCATTGCTGAGAGGCAGAGGGGATGTTAATTCACCCAGAGTTATGCTCTTCTTGCTCTGAACAGACAGTATATACTGGTGAAGGAATGCTTAGAGGCAGAAGGGCATCAACTCAGATATTTTCACAGAGTTTCAAAGGCAGTGTTTCACGAAAACCATCATAAGAAGGGCCATTCCATGGTAACTCGCGTTACACTTAATGGGTACATTGACACGATAATGTGCCTATATCTTTAGAACTGCTAGGATCTGCAAGATACTTTTTTCAAACATGGACAGGGTAGATATAAAACAACTGAATGAAACAAAAAAGAAAATTGAAGAACAAACATTTTTAGATTCTTGGATTATTGAATTTTGGTAACTCGCGTTACAAAAAAAGGACATGGTCAATTCTATGAGACCCTCTTTTGGCAAAGTCTCCTCATACTAGACAATCTTGACAAAATCTTTCCTACGTTGATAGTAGGTTGAGACTTACTAGTATAAGATCACAATATTAAAGATAAGAAACAATGGACTAGTAAAATGCAGGAAGCAAATATGTCGGTAACTCACGTTACGGTAACTCGCGTTACATTTTGTCCGGAGGCCATTTTCACCCCTATATAATAGATTAAATATCCCAGGACCCCTTAGAAAAGGCTTAGAATATGGAAATATATTCATCTTTTTCAATTTAGCGAAATTTTCAGGAAAAAATATTACAAGAATCCTGTGTAATCTGCAATAAATTGTTTTTTTTTCATCTACAGTCCCACATGTACGTTTTTGATGATGGTTTGAGATCTTAGGAAATCAACAAAAATGAAAAATAAATTGTATTGAATTTGAAAGGCCCTAATGTTTTATGAACATCCATGGCATAAGGTTAGTGATAAATCAAAAAATTAACATAAGAGGTACATTTCTTTTTTTGATGTCATGTCCTTCTTCTCATGGAATGGCCCAGAACAAGTTCGCTGACACCCCATTGAAACGCATGTACATTAGATTCAATTAGACTTAATGGGATATCGATGAACTTGTACCTTTGACGGTTTTGTGAAACGACCCCTAGTTGGCTCTCAAGACTGATACCTGATAGCTAACTTAGCCTTCTTAGGAGGCCTGTTTTCATCAGCTTGAGATTGCCAAATATCCCGCTATTTGAACTATCCCGATCGCAAATTATCCAGTTGATTTGTGTCATCATCAGCACGAAGTTGCAATTAGCGGGATATTTGGTCGAGATAATCATCCCAAGATATCTTGGGCTAGTTTGCAAAATATCCCGCTATTTGTCCGGTGCGGCTTCACCAGCCCGAAGACTCGCACTATGCGCGACCGCTGAGCAAATATCACAAGCTAATTTCTCGAGCTTGAGTTCCGAGTTTCGAGGTCAAGTCTCGAGCTGATGAAGACGCACTTCGTGACTTCGTGCCAAGATGGCACATGATAATGATGATGGGATAGAGTTCAAGTTCAAGGTGAGAAAGAGTGAACGACTTACCAGCCCTCGTTGCAACATCTTGGGGTCTGGTGCGTTTGGCGTGCTGGGTGATCTTTGACGATTGTTGCGCCCTGTCCTAGGGGAGCTCGGCTCACCGGCCTGTAAAACAGAGGAATGAATGTAGGAGTCAGAAATCATTAACGGCTGATTCAAAAATAATAATGCATACAATGTCAATATCAAAGCTTCATCGAGTACATAATACCTAAAGACACATAAATAATGCACACTTTGTGCGTGTGATCAGGGTAATAATGATGTCTGTAAGGCATTTAGAGACGGTATTCAGTATCAAGGGTTATATAAATCTAGATTTATTATTATTATCATTTGTGATAAAAAATATATTAAATTCAGTCAACAAAGAAATCTTTAAACTAGGGTCCCTTTTTTAACTGAGCAATGTAATGATGATTCATAGATCCTGTATGAACCAAACTCCATAAATGGTCAGGTGGCATAATGAACTAGCACCAGTGAAACTTCCAGTGGGTTGAAGTTTCGCAATAGTTAAATATCAACTAGTTGTGTGGATAAAGTTCAAATGCCTCTATAAGTGCATGTATATGCAGTAATTTTGATAGCATAATCGCTTTAAAATACATGCTGTACATGTATGAATTGAGAAAGGGCAGAGCCTTTTAATATAATTTTGGTCTGAGTTTATAGTACATAATTTTATTAGAAAAGTTGGAATTGTGATTAACAAATTTGTAATTTCAGAAGAAAATCAAGTTGATCCCTAACTATGTGAAGGGAGCAAAGTAAAACAAAAATGAAAGACACCGATATGACTGACTGTGCTAATGCTATGATCTTACCCTTACAACTGACAGTATCATGTTTGCTATGGATAGGGTCCAGTTTTCACAAAAAAATCTCTCCAATTAACAATATCAAACTCAAACAATAGGCATGTGGATGTTCCTCTCAGATGACAATGAAACGGGTGATGATGAAGAGTGGAGCTTTTGTAAGGAATCCAGGAGATGAAACAATCATGAGGGATGATGACCCTGATAATGATGATGACGACTACGGCGGTGATGATGATGATGATGATGATGATGATGATAATAATTATGCTGATACTGATGAAGATGATGACAAGGATAGTGATGCAAATGATGTTGACACCTTTATGATGGTGAGGGAAGTGATGATGATGATGATGATGTTCACAATGGTATGATGATGATGCTGATGATGATGATGATGATGATGATGATGATGATGATGATGATGATGGTTATTATAATGACCACAAAAAAGAAATGCTATTGGTTCCTCTTCAGCTGATAACCAGTTGTGATGAGAGCGGTGGTAATGATGATGCAGATGCAGTCCAAGCAAAGAGAAGAATGTCTAGATGGTCTAAGAGTGATTATGGAAGATCCTCAAAAAATTGTTAGTCCTAGCTATTATGATGATGGTGATGGTGATCGTGCGATCAACAGATAGAGAAGTAATTAGTTCCAGATGTTCAAAAACACAAATGATAGTCCACATAGGAAAGATTCTCCTCAGCTTAGTATACCAATGATAACGAAGTCAATGCGATGGTGATGATGATGATGTTAATGATGATGACAATGCTGAAGAAGATAATAATGATGATAATGACGACGATGACGATGATACCACAACTCCACTAAAATCTTTCAAGCATCTCCTTCACCTTCGGACAACTATTCAAGCCAGAAGAAAAAGTTGCCGCCGCTCGGCCACGAAGCGCCTTCATCGACATTGCCGCAAAGATGCCTTCGTCAACGAACCTTCATCAATTAACGTCCTGTTCTGTTTCTCTATGGCTCACTACTGAACCGACTCCAGTCTATGTTACGTCCTACTAATGCACTTGTAGCATAGATTTTTTTGTCATTGGAAGTAGCCAGGACAGAGGATGTTGAATGTGTTAGGTCATACGTTGCGCAGGGACACGAAAAAAAGGAACTTAGGAAAAATCGAGACTACCTGCGTCAAAGTTGATTAGAAAAAAAACCACCTGGACCCGTTTCCTGACGATAGAACACCCCACAGGACAATAGGAAATATAGAGAGAGAGAGACCGGGAGAGTAAGAGATAGAGAGAGAGAGAGACAAAGAGAGAGAGAGACAGAGAGACAGAGACACTGAGAGACAGAGACAGACAGAAAGACAGAGAGAGACAGAGAGACAGAGAGTGAGTGGAGGAGGTAAAGCCAAGGGGAATGATTGAAACTGTCCAACTTTTGCGACGACATCATTACATAGATGTGGCAACTAGCTGCCGTGGGTAGTAATATTTCCTTTAGGAACATTTCAAATAAAGAGATTAAGGCCGGCAGGAAAAAAAAAATCTAGAACAGGTAATGGAAGACATTGCAAAGAATTGTGAATAATACAAGAGAGAGAGGGAGATAGAAAGAAAGCTAGAGAAAGAGAAAAGAGAAAAGAAAAAAAGAGAAAAAACATGAAGATAACAGGCAATTTTGAACAATTCCTAAGGAGACAATTCTGCAAAGGGAGTTGTCATGGTGGATGGCTGTCGATCGTAGAAGGTATTTGTCCAAGGGAGGGGTTGGGAGTCGCGGGTATTGGTTCTATTGCTATTCATCTGCTTGTCTGTTGCATATTATGTGTATAGGTCTCCCCCCCCCCCCCCCCCCATCCCCCTCTTTTTCTTCTTTTACTCCAGGAGATACCATGAAATCCATGCAAACTTCATCTAAATTCCTCAGCTGACCCAACCAACATAGTTTAGAACTAGCGACCTTCCTGAATTTTGCCAAACGATGTTACCACTCCGGCACCCGTCCTGCGTGAGCTCTCCACCACATGTAGCCTGCGTCACGCAGCATTCTCAAAGCTAAAACCTAATTTGACGAGTCTGGTTTTGTAGCACAGGGGCGCGGGACAGGACAAGACAACAATCAGTGCAATGTGATGAGCCCAGAGTGTAGGATCGGAGCATAGGAGAAGTGCCAGCTCATCAAATTGGTAAGAATTTGTCACCTGGGCTAACCATGCACACCTTGGTGAAAGAATGCATGCACCATGTCTGTAAAAGCCACTTCCTTCCATATGGCCCCTATTTCCATATTCTATCATGCATAATTCTTACTCCATATGGCTTTGGAAGGGTTAAAGCAACCTTCCTTGATCTCTAAACAAGGTGCCAGGCATCTCACCTGCATCCTTTTCACATGCAGAGAACCTTCCGCAGCATGTCTTACGCGATAAATATCACCCCTAGAATTCAAACTTTCTCAATGGTAGATTCCAATTTCATATGGAGTTTGGGTCATTTCATTCATGAATTAGGGGTTTTTCAACTTACAAATGTGTGTACCCACCTTTGCTGCATGCATGTTACATGATACATGATAAATATCACCCCTAGAATTCAAACTTTCTCAATGGTAGATTCCAATTTCATATGGAGTTTGGGTCATTTCATTCATGAATTAGGGGTTTTTCAACTTACAAATGTGTGTACCCACCTTTGCTGCATGCATGTTACATGATAAATATCACCCCTAGAATTCAAACTTTCTCAATGGTAGAGGCCAATTTCATATGGAGTTTGGGCCGTTCCATTCATGAAGTAGGGGTGTTCAACTTACCAATGTGTGTACCCTCCTCAGTGCTGATCTTCTGTGAAGTCTGCATGGAATACCTGAGGACCCTTCTGCATCT